AAATAATAAAGTTTAGTATAAAAAAATGCCATAATTTGTACAAGGTACCTTTAGTAAAGAAACTAGAGCATACAATGACAAACCTCCAGTTACTGGTATGTTGCAAAATTATTATAAAATAGATTAGCTAAGAAATAAGGAGCATGAGGCAAAATAGATAACAAAAATAAACTAGCTAACAACGGAAACAGAGTCATTAGGGATAGAACTTTAATTTTGTGATTAAGAATATAGATATGAAAATAGTGTATATGAATTTTAAATATAAATATTAATATTTAATAATTAAGTAAAATTTTAAATTTTAAATTAAATTTTAAAGGTATAGATATTAAAACTCTAATTCTTTTAGGATCAAAATTAATATGAGTACTGAACGGCCCACTCTGACCCACTAGTATTAGACCTGGGTTAGGGCTGTTTAGTTTCGTGAATTGCACGAGCTCACGGAACCCCTTTCTCCCTCTCCCAAGTAACTCTATAAATAATTACAAATTATTCAAAACAAAAAAATTGATATGAGTACCATCTTCTATAAATAATTACTACTAATTTTATGATTAATTCTTACAACTTATGGCAGATGTGCATATGCTTGTTTAATTTTGAGAAAACTTAGACATGTAATTTTAATTTTCAAAACTTATTAAAATTTTATTTTTAAAATTAATTTTAATTTTTTTTAAAAATTTAAAATTTATGAAAAAAATTTAATTAAAAAAATTCTAAAAAATTTTACTTTTTTTTAGCTTTCCCAGGCACCCTTATGGTTTCCACTTATTTTCTTTTATGTATTTTTAATGCAATTTTCTTTTATAATTAATTGACATAAAAAGGACAAAATATAATCTCACTGCTTTCCTTCTCCAGTTGGAAGATCCAAATTTAAAAAGGTATCTCCACTTGTTTTCTCTCACTGCCTTCCTGATCTTCATTGCCGCCTCACATATTATCTTATGCATCTGATGGGATTCACCTTCAAATGGCTTCACCAGTGGTTTGGCCCCCTTTTCCATTTCCCAACATACTTTTCAGCCTTTGATTTTATGTACCACTACAATTTAGTGGCACTTATCATCTAAACTTGAATTATTTTCTGCAGATTGCATCATGTTGGTAAAATCCACTACATATTTTGGTATCCACATTTTGTCTCTCAACCTTGTAATTGTGGAAACCCAAGTTCTAAACCAGCTGGTATATATTTTTCAATCGCTGTATTTTTTTTTTTTTCACCTTTGATTTTTTCTTCTCTCAAAAGCTTGATTTTAATATATGCTTTGCTAAGTTCATCACTAAATTATTAAAGCTTAGTATATAGTATATTCTTTTATTTGAATTATACCCCTCCCCAGTCTCCTCCGAAGTATTAGGGTTTAGAGTGCTTTTCTTTTCTGATTTTTAATTTTGTTATATTTTCTTTAAAAATCTTTGAAGTAACTAGAAGGTACTTATATCCGAGCAATTTGTGAAGAAGCCTTTTACTAGATACATCTTTATTAAATCATTCTTAATCATTAGAAGAAAACTATAATTGTTGTCTTCTTTAAATTAACTATTGTAAAATTGATTTTGTCTCATTTTTTGAATCTATATATGACAATATTTCCTCTTTTTTTAGTTGGTAATATCTACTTCTATTTATTTCACGGTCGGCTAATAGCAAACATATTTATTTTTTAATGCACCACATAAATGGGTTATGTTTGATTTAATGAAATTCTTTGATGCATTTCATTATATAAATAGATCTGTATATTATATCTTTGATGCATTTTTTCAGTTGGTAGTATCTCCTTATGTTTGACTTAATAATCAAGTTCTCCAATTTTTTTCTCATTGTCCTTTACATATCAAAGATATTGTTGGTATTTTTAGCCCAGAATTTCTCTAAGGATGCAAGCCACTCCTTAAGTTAACCCTTCTTTCCTTTATTTCTTATCTTTTAGTTTGCAAATGAAATGGAATTCATATAAATAAATTCCATTAAGAATTTAATTAAATTGAATTCTCATATTTATTTAACAAATTTTTAATCTCTTTGCTATAAAGTATAAATTAAAGCAGAATTAGTTTCATTTCTCTTCTGCAGATTGTATCATTTTTGGTTTTTCTATTCCATATTTTGCAACTTGCATTCTCTACCTTCTTCAAAAACACTCGGATTGATCAAGCAACTTGCATTCTCAAGTTTCTTCAAAAACACTCAAATTGATCAAGAAACAATTGTTCCATGCCCAGAAGGTATAATTTTTTTTACTCCCTATATATTTCCTTCATTTT